GTTTTAGTACCCAAATCCCCTACCAAGTCAACCATGAGTTCACTCCTCCCCTCTCTGTGGACATGGTATCTGGCAGAAGGAGGTGCTTAATAACTTTTCATTGCATGAATGGAAGGCAAAGAGAACGTGGTGTGAGTGGCCTGCCTCTGAGGCTGGCCCAGCCCACAGAATTGGGTGGGCACCACAGGTGTGGCAGGGCAGGGCTGGATCCCTTTTGGGGGAAGAGTTCCCGTTAGCTTTTTCCTAGTGAGCAAACCAACACAAACAGAACACCACCTGAGGATTCTGTGGAGCAGGCCCAAGAGACCAGCTGACACACTGCTGGAGAATAGCAGAACAAGGACAGTGCCGTGGAACGATGTGCAAGGCCTGCGGATTGGCAAAGCATTTCCATTTTGTGTCCAGTTCCCCAGATCTTGACCTGTACTTTAGGAGCAGATGGGGTTCACTTGCACGGAAGAGCAGCCCTGTAGTTCAGTGATACGGGAGCAGATAAATCCCTGCTTCCCTGGTTGTTGGATTAGACACCCATGCACACACACTCCCACATTTGTGAGCACCCTTGTGCAGATGAATTGGAACGGAGCACCCTCAGCAGTGGTTTTTGCTGAAGGACATCTGTTTCAGTGGCCTGCGGGATGACTGGGATGGTGCAAGCTAAGTGCCTGTCCCACCAGCAGTTTGTGGTGGTTGGAAGCTGATTGAGTCGAGACGCTATGTCTGGGTTCCTGCTTCTTGCAGTGGTCTTTTCCCAGTGGGTCCAGAATGATTCAGATCCCTATCCTCCACATTAAAACTGTATTTAATCCCAGATTTTACCAGCCTGGCTTGGCTGCAAGATGGACAGACAGGCTTATTTATCTTCTTTTAATTGCTTTCTCGAGGCTACAAAGTGAAGCTCTAAGGCATTTGAGGATTCTTCCTTCCCACCCCAACCCTGTCTTCACTGCAGTTTCTTTGAACCATTTTCTCCAGGGAAATGGTAGAAAATCTTATCCATATTAAAGGACCTATTACGTTAGCCATGTGGGAAGCCTGAACTGAACTCCTCCTGACTGTACAGCTATATCTGTGTGGTTATGATCAGCTGTTTAACATTTGAAAATTGTAGAACATTTTTCATGAGATGAAAATATTCTAATTATTCAGAGCTAGATGCTGGATTAGAGGGAAGTTTTTATTTACTTATATTTAGAAAGAGGGAAAGAGAGGGAGAGAAACATTGATTGATGTTGGAGTGAAGCATCAATCAGTTGCCTCTCGCACGTCCCCAGCTGGGGACCTGGCCCACAGCCCAGGCATGTGCCCTGACCAGGGGATTGAACCAGCGATCTTTCTGTTGGCAGGATGATGCCCAACCCACTGAGCACACCAGTCAGGGTGGAAATGTTTTTAATGGTAAATTTTACAGATGTAAGATAGCTGGTATTTAGGTAAACTTAGGTATTTAGGTATACAGGAAGAATACAGTTGAACTATCTGGTTCGGCTCTTCCTGAAACATTTTCTGGCCCCAATCTGAAGAAACAAAATCTTCATAACAAATCATCTAGGAACAAAGTCATCTAGAAAACAAACCCTTTTTAAGAAGGGCTTACTTGTGGGTGATACATCCAGCAAAAATGGTAGGCAGAACCCTGCCTTTTAGGACCCTAGAGTTTGGACGTGACATTTAGTTAGGTGTCACACGAGATTCTGATTCTCACAGATTACCCCACCCTCAGTGGCCTGTATCCAATATTCATTACCAGTGTTATTCACAGCTAGATTTATCCCCAGGACCTAGAACAGTTCTATCTGGCACAATTTAACACTCAATAAATATTTGTAGAAGGGATGAAGGATATCCAGTAATTTCCCCAAAGTGCTCAAAAAATAATCTTCATTCTTGTGATGCTACATGGACCATAACACTCTTCGTATGTTAATAGTATATTTTTAATAAAATATAAAGTAGTTCTGTAAAGACATAAGGCTTTTGGAATTTTCTCAGTCAGGATTCTTGTAATGTGGAAATAGATATGTATAACATTAAGAAGGTGACTTAGAAAAGGTTCCTTTTGGTTTCCTAGGAAGAGGGCACACCGCAGCAGCCCCTCTACTGAGCTTTTGCGCTGGCCTGAGTCATTGCTCACAGCACTGTGACCCCTGCCTTCATTTGTTCCATAAAGGTTTCCTTACTGTTGGTCAATAATCCCACACCTTTTTACTTTTTAAATGTGTTTTTGTGTAGGGGGGAGTAGTTGACACTCCAAATATTTATTGGATTTATGTTATAGAATATATTTTCAGGAATAGGAACACAGGCAGACAGTAGATCAAAGGAAGGAGGGGGGTGAGTTATTTAGAGAACAGAGTACCGGAAGGAAGCTCAGGTTACCACAGAAACTGCAGCAGCAGCTTTTTCCAGAGAAAGTGTGATCTCAGATCAAGGTTTGTAAAGAAAGCATGAGTGTTGACCTATGTTTAGGGGAAAACGTCTCTTTCTCTAAAGAGCACCTCACTAGAAATTTTAACGGAAGGACATCGTGCAAGCAGAAGTCAGCCTTGCTGATAAACCAGACAAACACAAACACAAGTTAACTATGTTATTCAAAACATTTCTTCCAACTATCACTTAAAACTTTTGGGCTCATGAAAAGGCAGAATGCCATAGGCAGGCCTGTGAACCAAAAGGTCACATGTTTTATTCCCAGCCAGGGCACATGCCTGGGTTGCAGGCCAGGTCCCTGGTAGGGGGCACGTGAGATGCAACCACACATTGACGTTTCTCTCCTCTTTCTCTATCCCTTTCCACCTCTCAAGAAATAAATCAATTAAATAAATAAAAAGAATTTTTAATAATTTTAAAAGATATGCAGTTTTTCCTTTTATTCAGTTCCAGTCAGTATTGTTAAGCTCTTATTATAGATCCTTATTATGTTATAGAATTTGGAAAATATCTATCTGTTTTGGATATTAGGCAAAGTATGAATATATAACTTTATTTTTGTTTCATACTTCTGAAATAAAACTAGACAGTTTTCAAGTATTTGCAAATTGTAGTACTTTTTGTATTTAATTTATTTAGTATAGTATTTGCAGTGTATTATTTTATTTTTAAAGTAGTCTAATGCTAAATGTCATAAAAATGTGTAAGTAAATATTCAGCATTCATATCATTGCACCACCTATTCCCGCACACTCGGCCATCACCAAAGCCGGATCCAGCATCGGTCGCTGTGACAATTTTGTCTTATGTTAAGACTGATTGTTATAATTAACATATAGCCTGACTCCCTTGGCTAGTCTAAATTTAAAATAAATTGAGGTCCTCTGAACTGTGAGCATACTTAGGACATTATCATTTATAATACATTGTTTTGACAAATGAGCAATGAAAGCGGGTATTTGCGATATCCCTTCTGATAGCTGTTTCATAGTTAGAAGAGAGGCTTGCTGTGTATGTGTCAAATATTCATTTCATTTAACAAATATGTATCACAGGCTCACTGTGTGCTTAGCCCTGGTGCTACAGCGGTTGTTAGGAGAGCAGTCTGTCCATCCTTCTTATGCCTCTTCTGTTAAAGAGAAGAGACGTGGGCCTTCTGTTCTTGTGAGGCCACAGCTCTTTGCCCACACCTTGGGCAGTAGGTCGTAATCATTACAACCTACTTAATCTCATCCTCTTGTGTGTATTGTGTCCTCATTAACACATCCCCACTAGTTTGTCAGTCTTCTAGAAATGAAAGCTGTGACCAATAAAGTGTGCCTTATTTGTACTGAGTGTTGACAATGAATACTGGTGAATTGTTCAAATAAGGGGATGAAGCACAGCTGAAAAGGCCAGAATGTCTACTCCACGAGGTCAGGGATGCCTCTGCATGTTCTGTTCACACCTGTGTCCCCAGGATCTAGTATGGCACCTGATACAAAATAGGCACTCAGTCAACATAAGGCAGAATGAATTCAGACAAATGGAGATTTAGATTTGGGTTGAGGCTACCTAGGGACACTAATTAAATTTATTTCTTCTGTTGGATCACCTTATACTATGGACTGTGTTAGGCATCGGAGATATAAATAAGTCTTAGCCAAAGTAGATTCTGGTGTCAGAGAAATAGCTCTGTGAGGGAAAGCGGGTTTCCAGCAAGAACTTTGGAGGGCTGGTGACAATGTGGGGAGGTGGTCTGAGCACCAGGGTCTTTCTGCCTGCTATTTCTCACCGTTGTCTGCAGTTTGAGACTCTGGGGTCACAGGAACCAGGCAGGAGGGCCTTTGCCAGAGACAGGGTCAGTGTTGCCTGGCACTTCCTGGGGATCGAAAGGATATGGAGTGAGAAAAGTTCATTAGAACATGTGGATAAACTAGCAGTTTATATGTACTGCTATATGTCATTTGTATGTACTGAAATGTTAGTGTACTGTGACAATTACATTTCTTTAAAATAATGTTTTAGATACTTGAAGTTTTTTTTACAGTTGAAAGACGTAAGAGATGCTGAAGGGAAGGAGCATAATCTAGTATGGCATTAGGCTGCTTTGGAGAGAATGGGACAGAGTAGGGATCACGTTGGCTGAGTTTTGGCTGCGTTGCCTACTGGCTTAGTGTGTTGAGCACCTTTACTTGACCTTTCTTTGCCTGAGTGTCTTCATCTGTAAAATGGGGTGACAATAGTTTCTACCCCCTAAGATTAAATGAGAGAATACTTTCCTGTAGGATAAGAAAAATAACGAGTGCTTAGAATGTGCCAGGCCAGCTGCTCAGTAAATGTTTCTTATTCTTAACTCTGTTCCTCTCATTGCCAGAATGTTCTCTGCCTTACCTGTGTCCATTTCGGGATAGCTGGAACTAGGAGGGTAGTTGGGTAAAAGCAAATTGTCGTGCTGACTGTGATGACTGTGAGTTTGTGTGCCCAGTTAACACTCCTTCTATTAGAATAAATGCAGGGCTTCCTTTTATTGATTTGTTTCCAGTCTGTTATTTGGTACACTTAATTAACTGAAATTGTTGTTGTTTTAGCTACATGAAAGCGGTTATGATGCCGGCAAAGCCCTGCAGCGCCTGGTAAAGAAGCCTGTGCCCAAGCTGATCGAAAAGTGCTGGACCGAGGATGAAGTGGTGAGCTCAGGCGGGAGTGTGCCTGTGGGCTGGCTGGGTCATTGGACGTTTGCTTCTCACCGTGCGACCTGCTGCTCCTCCGGGGAAAGGAGCACTTTCCAAAGACTCAGTCACGTGTACAGACTGGCCACGGCTTCCTTCAAGCAAGGGAGAGAGATTTATGCTTCAGGAGTTAGAGAAAGGCTTGATTTTTGTAAGCTTAGATTGCAGAGATAATGGTAAAGATTTTCCTAGGTTTCATGAAAAGGGAGAAGTAATTGATACTTACTGTTAGATACTTAGGGTTAGTTTTGGTTGGTTGGTTTTTGGTGCAAGCTAGTGTTTGACACCTCCCTGTTTTTAAAACACAAACATGTTAAAACCCATTGATACATAATCTAGAGTAGGGCTGGTTACTTTTTTTTATCCTGAGCCCTGACATGATTCCTAACCTGCGGAAGGACATTAGTCAACAGCAGGAAGCGTAGACTTGATCAAATAAATATATTGGATCTTTCATAAGCATTCTATTATCATGGCCCATTAAAGAAGATGGGGAGATAGAAATGTGCCCACAAACAGATCTGCAAACCCATGGATTCCTATCTTGGCACAGTTCTCATGAAGCCACATCCCCATCTTGTGACTTGTGAAAGGTATTGCTGGAAAGACCTAGAGATTTCTTGTGCTTTTGCAAGTGCAAGTGTTCCTGCTTGGTAGTTACCCTTTAGGTTGAGTGATAAAAGATGAAGGCTGGCACTGAGACATATTGATTGTAAGATGCTCACCTGTGTTTTAAAATATGCTAAGAACAAGTGCTTAGATTTTATATGCTTTCATGATCCTGCTTTTTCATTTTTACAGTGATATTTATCGAGAGATTATTATATACCAGGAGCTAAAAGGAACACAAGGTCCCTCCTCACAAGGCTTTTGTTTTAAGAAGGAGACCACCTGTAAATCAGTATATGTCAAGTGGTGGCACATGTGCTGAGGAGAACAGAGGAAGGCTAAAAGGATGGGGTGAAACTGGGGAGGGGTGCTCGCTGTCTCTTGTAAGGGGCTTGGAAAGGCCTAGTCAGTACAATTTGAGCAGAGACCATAGGAATGCAAGGAGGTGAGCCTTTTGGGTATCAGGAGGAACAGAATTCTGGGCCTAATGGGAAAGAAAGCACACCGGCACGTTGGAGAACTAGGTAGGAGCACATTGGAGGTGGGTGGTGGGGGAGGGGGCCCTGCAGGGGCCAGATCAGATGTGGCAGTGGTCAGCACCATGCTAGTCACTCTGCAGATTCTGGGCAGAGGAGTGGCTTGGTCTCCCAGTGGTGCACTGTGCTGAGTGGAGAGTGGGCTTGGGGGCTGTTGTGGGGGTTCAGGTCCCAGACTGGGGGTTGTTAGTGCAGCAGCAGTGGCGGTGGGAAGTGGTGAGATGGCAGGTATATACTGAAGATAGAGCACAAAAGTTTGTTCATGGACAGCTGGGGGCGGGGAGGTGAGAGGAGTGGGAAAATCTAGGACACAGCAGGGGTAGGAATGAACTGAAATGGCCCTTGAAGGTCGGGTAGTAAGTAGCAGACCCTTAGGATTCTTAAGTTTATCAGGCCTACGTGAAGTTGCTGTTGCTGTTTGAAGTTAAAAATTTTTAAACCTTACGTGATTAGGAAAAAGATGGAAACATCTTAAACATTTGTGATTATTCAGACAAAGACCAAAGTAAAGATGTTAAACTCATTTGTTTTGAAAAGTCATTTGATGTTGTTTTTCACTGTAGACCTACTTATACCTGGGAAGATAAGAGATATGATTGATAAACATTTAAAATTCCACAAGCCTTTGTAGAAGAAAGACATCAGGAGATAAAAGGGGTGGAATGAATGTGTAGAATGTGACCAGTCTGCACGTTACTGTCAGTGCACACATACCATGATGGTGACTTATCATCCTCCCTCTCCTTCAGCTCTTGAGCTTCTTCCCTCCCTCCCCTTTTGGTCTTTCCTGTCTTCCACCTTCATGTTCCGCCCTGAGAGTCTCTCCCTTTTCACTCTCCTTTTCCTGGCTAGCTCCTCACTAGCCAGGAACCTCTCCCCTCTCCCTTACTTCCTCCCTTGACCTCTTAGTTCCTTCAGAATTTTAAAATTCAAGCTTAAAAGAAGGCTCTTCCTGCTTAAAAGAAAGTTGGCTTCCTTTTCCTGCAGCATGTGCTTATGTGGGCACAATGTGGACTGTGTTCCCACTGCTGCTGCTTGGGGACTTTTACCAGAGTGGGATGGGAAAGTGGGAGTCTCACACATTGGAAAAAGCCCAGCCTCATTTGGAAAAATGAAACAGGATCCTGGAGTGCTGCACATTCCAAGTACAGGCTAATGGTACAGGGTGATGTTTTAGTAGAAGTTTTGAGATATTTTGGTCATCATCCAGCTCTGCAGGGCCCAGGGGTTACTTGGTACCTTACTTACATAAAGTTCAGCCTTAGTTTCTAAAACCTCAAAAATGAATGAGAGAGGGTGATTGAATAATTGACAGACCAGGGATCCCCATGAAATTGTCTTCCATGAATCCGGTCCCTAATGCCAGAAAGGTTGGGGACTGCCGTGAGAGACCGAAAGAAGCTTTTGATGAAGGTATGCAGACCTGAATCGTTGGAATACTTTCATGTGGCAACAGGACACACGAACCAACAGGACTCCTGACCTTAGCTTGGTTTGGGCTGTAAAAAAACACCTACTGTGTATGCGTGGCCTCCTGTTAAATTGACCACATTTTCTCATCCAGGAATCGCTGGAATAAGCAAACAAATGTGTTCAAACTAAAATAAGTATATGAACCTTCCTCCCTCCTTTTTTTCCCCCTCTTAGTTTCTTTATAGTTGGAAATTTTGGTTATTTTTAAAATTATTTCCTCCATTGTGTGAGCTTGGTCAAACTACAGCAACACCGGTGTTTTCCTTTGCACGGACACTGAACTGTATGTGGAAGGGCTGAGAGGGAGAATGCTTGATGCGTGGGCCCTCAGAGTGGCTTCGAGGGGGCAGCCCGGCCCACGTGCTTTGTGTTCTGGCGGGCCCACTGTTTGGGAAGGGGCTCATCTCTCCCTTGCCAATCCAGGCCCTAACTTTTTCAAGGCTCAGCACACTTGTTTCCACCCCATCGTGACTGTCCCTCTCCGAAATGCAGCTCCTCTTCACATCATTTATTGGCACTTAATCCTTTGCTCCCTGTGCTGGCTTTGTGTCATCAGCACCAGCTCTTGTTCCTCAGCCTTTATTTCTGAGTCGATTGCCCTCCTGGTTTGTAGAATTGCGAAGAGTCAGACTTTATTCATGGTGGGAATCATGTTTGGGAGAGAATACTGTATCTGCCTATGAGAGGACTGGGGAATAGTGACAACTCTTCACTCAAGATTATTGTTTTTATTTTTTATTTTTGTAAATATGTTATTTATTTTTAGAGAGAAGGGGAAGGGAGAGAGAGAAACATCGATCAGTTGCCTCTCACACACCCCAACCAAGGACCTGGCCCACAACCCGGGCATGTGCCCCAACCTGGAATCCAACCAGTGCGACCTTTTGGTTTGTAGGCGGGTGCTCAGTCCACTGAGCCACACCAGCCGGGGCCAAGATTATTGCTTTTAAAGTTTGTTCACTGTAATTAAGACTCTCCTCAATCTGGCATTTTAAAACTTGTTAATAATATGCACCAGCATGAAAGAGAAAAACTTTTATATGTACAAACAATACAGCTGACCTTAAAAGTTTTACTTTCGGGGAAAGTTCTCAAGTTATTAATAATACTGTCACTGACCTCTTCTTCTTCAATCTTTCAGATAATCACTAATTCTTGAGATATTAGGCCTCAAAAATCACATAATAGGAGGCCTTTCATTTCACACATTCTCTCAGTAATTTCTATGACTGTGTGTATAGATAGGATACTTCTTTCTGAAGTTGCTTTGGGGCCAAAATACTTTAAATCTTGTTGAGGAGAGGCAGACTTGTGCCAGTTTCTCTCAAATCCTAAGCCAGATAGTGACTCCTGAACTCTGCTTTAGTGGAATGACTGAGAAAAACCCTGGTAGCTAGCTCAGGGCAACATCTTTCATGCTAAATAAACTGGATCAGATCAGAGAAGCATTTTTTAAGAAATGCTAGGTCAGTTTATGATGCTTATTAAGTATTATAGTGTGGGCCAGGAAGGAGCCAAAGTGAATGCTGGCTGCTGTATGTGAGAGTTATATTGATAGTTAACCAGTTTCACTTACATTGTGTGAAAAATATTCCATAATTTTAGGATGCCATACAAAGCAGTAGAATTTGAGAAAGACTAAAATACAGATCAGAACTTTTAAAAAAACCCCGAAACCCTAGATTATTAGGTTTTTAATTAAAGACGATGAACACATTTAAATATAACACAAAGGCCCCAGGCTGAACTGCACCTAATTGAAACGGATTAAGTCACCCTTCTGTGCTCAGATAGTTATTAATTCTGTTTACTTATGCATGCAAGTTGAAGGTAGCATTTGCTGCTGTTGTGTTCTTGCTTATTGCACCGGGATTCCATTGCTGCTTGATGCTATGCTCTTAATTAGCATTCAGCTGTTGATTATGGAAATACTGGGGATACTAATTGAATTCTTCTTAAAATTCAGGGCCTGCACTTTCCTTGTGGAGTTTAGCCTGACTTGCAAGGTTGTAGGTTTGGGTGTTTCAATGAGCAGTGCCTTTCACCCTTTGCTCCCCACCCATTAGGCTGTGTTTGTTTTGGAAATCTTTTTCATGTTGAATAGCTTCAGCAAAAGTCCAGGTGTTACTCTGACTGGGTGGCCCAGTTGATTGGAGCGTTCATTGCTCCATGCACCAAAAGGTTACAGGTTTGATTCCTGGTCAGGGCACATAACTGGATCGTATGTTCGATCCCCAGTTGGGGCATGTCCAGGAAGCAACCAATCCATGTTTTTCTCTCCCTCCCACATGCTCTCTCTCTAAAGTCAATAAAAACTTATCCCCGGGTAAGGATTAAAAA